GGGTTTCATTTTCACAACTGGGCTTTGCTTATTTTGGTATAAGTTGTTGGTTTTATGTGTTTGTCATCTTCAGAGAGCAGAAACCCAAAGCAGAGATAAAGTTGCTAGGAAGATCACAACAAAAGGCTGTAGGATCTGTGTGTGGCTTTGTTGCCATTGTCTTCTCACCCATGAGAAGACAATGAACATGTCAGAAAGAAAGTTCAGTGTTCCCAGAATCCTCTTGCTCCGAATCTTTTTTAGAGTGTAACTCTACTATTTGATGACTTTGCAGCTAACCTGGAAAAATAATCCCTATGTTATTCGTAGACAGATTGCCATTCTTGGGAAGAGGGTGTGGGAGGACAGCACCGTCCCCAAGAAAGAAATATTTTGGGGAATATTAAAAAGCAGAATATTATATTTCCCCAAGGAATACAGTAATGGAGAAAGAAAATCTTAAAAAACAGAAACCAGCCCCAGCCTCTGTCCCCCAGATAGGTCTGTAGAAATGCAGATTTGACAATCCTATTCCAAAAGGTTGGAGCCAGGAAACTAGAAGCTGATGAGATTAGGAAGACAAAGACTGCTAAAATCTACATACCCCACCCAAACTCTAAAGACATGACCTTTAGGACATAATAGGATTAACCCACCAATATCAAAAAGCGCGCACTCAAAGCTCAGGTCAAAGTTCATGCCACAGGAACAGGAACACCAAACACAAAAGCCCAAGAAGGTATAAAAACCCACCGCTCCCAGCACCATGTGGTCAGCTGCCCCAAAGTCACATTTCTGTCTGGCTCTGCTCTTCAGTAAACTCCAACCTTCTTTCTAAAGCAGTCTCCATTTCGTTTATTCCCGGCTTGAACTGGATCCTGATGAAGATTTTTCTTTCAATGGGGAAAATGTCGGTGAGGAGAGGGCTGGGTGCAGAGAGAAGAGGCCATGAAGGAGGCGAGGAAGAGGCTTAGCTCTTGCGGTGTGGCCTCTCCAAGTGCCCAGGAGGCTTGGCGTGTGTCCTTTTGCTTGGCCTGAGATGTGAAGGTGGATTCATTTCCGTCTCCTCCACAGGTCTTCTGGATTTGTTTGCTGCCCAGGATGGAGACAGCAAGAGGAGGAGTGCCCGATAGGTAAGATCTCACCTCCTTTTCAAGGCCAGTCAGAAGCTCTGAACGAGCCTCCGTGGAGGTTTGGAGAAGAGAGAGCAACCCTTCCTCTTCTATTTCCCAGTGGCCCTTGGGGGCATACAGGGGGCTGGTGGGCAAAGGTCGGGCCTGAAGAGGGGGTGATTGCAAAGAAGATTCCTGGATGGTCTCTGCTGCGGGCGCACCAATGACTCTGCCTCGCTCACTGCTTCATCAACCTGGGTCTGGGGCTGCAAAGTGGGACCATTTGCTTACCACAGCCAACTCACTGCAGGACGATGCACTGTGGGACAATTTAACAATTCAGTTTAATTATTTAAAATAAATTTTAAAATACCGTAAATGCCGGCGTACAAGACGACCCGGAGTATAAGACGACCCCCGTCTTTATAGCCGGGCCGCATTCCTAGAATGTCGTCTTATATGTCGGAAACTACCAGTATTTCCGGCGTATAAGACGACTCGGCGTATAAGACAACCCCCGTCTTTGGCGCCGATTTCAGCGCTCGCGGAAGTCGCCTTATACGCCGGCATTTACGGTACTTTCATTGTGGTCACTCACATTTCATTCTGTCCCTCCTGTTGTATCCTTTCTTTAATTATTCTATTGCACCATTTCTTGTCCTCCACCAAGCTGGCCGTGGTGTGTTGGAGAATTATCCTCCAGACCTTAGGGCTGAGATCTCTGTCTCAAGGAAGGATCACACTAGTACATTTTGGGGGGGGGGGGGATGGTTTAAATGGTTGCTAAGCAACTGGTCGTAAGTCGAGGACTAACGGTATACAGGTAGTCCTCAACTTACGATCACAACTGAGCCCAACATTTCTGTTGTTTTGTGAGTTTTCCCCCATTTTGCGACTTCCCTTGGCACAGTTGTTAAGTGAATCACTGCGATCGGTGAGTTAGTAAGCCGGTTGTTAAGTGAATCTGTCTTCCCCTGTTGACTTTGCTTGGCAGAAGGTCGTAAAAAGGGATCATGTGACCTTGGGACATGGCGACCCTCATAAATAGGAGCCAGTTGCCAAGCAACAGAACTTTGATCACCCATGGGGATGCTGCAATGGTCGTAACTGTGAAAAATGGTCATAAGTCCCTTTTTTCCGTGCCATTGCAACTTTGAACAGTCACTAAATGAAATGTTGTAAGTCGAGGACTGCCTGAACAACAGTTCTGGCAGATCAATCGTCATTTCCTGAGAGATTTCAAGCAGGTTTCAAGCAGGTGGGCTGGAAGAGATCCATCAGGAGGAGACAGAGTTTGACTTAGGTCCTAGAGCAGAGGTCCTCAACCTTTTGGGCACCCAGGACCGGTTCCGTGGAGAGAGGTTTTTCCGTAGACCGGAGGATGCGTGGTTTTGTGTGCTATCTGCATCTCACGATGGGGCTTTGCTTGTTTGTGAGGACCGGTTGCTGGCATGCCGTGGCCCAGTACTGGTCCACAGACTGGGGATTGGGGACCCCTGTGCTAGAGAATATACACAGCATTACACAGAAGATCCACTAGATCAGTGGTTCTCAACCTGTGGGTCGGGATTCCATTTGGGGTCAAACGACCATTTCACGGGGGTCGCCAAACAACGCAGTCCGCCATTTTTTCCCCCTTTTCCTTAGCTGTGCTACTCCCTTTTATTCTATTGGCTTTTGAAAGCCAATAGAATAGACTCTCTTAAATAGAGTCTACTTCTATTGGCTTTCAAAAGCCAATAGGAATTGTCCAGGCTGTCTAAGCCCTACTGAGCCCGCCAAAAGTCCCATTCTGCAAACGGTGCTGCACCAGTTGAGTAGTCCTCGACTTACGACCGGTTGAGTAGTCCTTGACTTACGACCGGTTGGGGGTCGCAACATTAAAGAGGCTGAGAACCACTGCACTAGATCAGTGGTGGCAAACCTTTTAGAGACCGAGTGCCCAAACTGCAACCCAAAACCCACTTATGTATCGTCAGGTGCCTGGTGGGTGTGGCCCATTGGGTGGGCATGGCTGCGGTAGTAATGGCAGACTGGGTGGGACCAAAAAGTTCAATCAATCAATTCCAACTTTGCGAGATCTTTTTCTTCCCCGTGAGAAGTTGAAATTGATTGATTAATTGAATCTTTTTGGGGGGAGGGCACACGGCGGTGGAAGCCTAAAGCGAAAAGGTTTTATAAAACCACTGAAGGCCTAGGACTGGGGTGACGGCATGCGTGCCCACAGAGAGGGCTCTGCGTGCCACTTGTGGCACGCGTGCCATAGGTTCGCCACCACGGAACTAGATCTTTGCTTACCGCAGTATTTCTCAAGCTTGGCCACTTTAAGAGGCGTGGGTGGCAACTCCCAGAATCCCCCAGCCAGCAGGGCTGCCTGGGGAATTCTGGGAGTTGCAATCCACGCCCCTTAAAGTGTCCGAGCTTGAAAAACACTGGTTTGTAGACATCAGATTGGTCTTGCCCAAAAAATAGCGTAATGGTTGCAGGCTGCAGAAGCGGATTTTCTCGCTGCAGACCTTGGGTTGACAGCAAAGCCCCAGAGCCCAGCTGTGGCCTCCCTGCCCAGCTCCCAGATCCTGGCACACCAAGGCTGGCCGCTGGAGAGCCGAGGAAGGGAGTCCACGGCTGCGCTCTGTGTGCGCCATTGTCTGCGGCCATGGCCCGGCTGGAACTTGGCCTCCAGAAGTTCCGCTTCCAGTCCTGTGCCGGGAGGGGAGGGGCAGAAAGCCGAGGCTGGCTGGGCGTTCTCGGGACTTGGAGTCCCAAGGCACTGATGGGAAACTTGGAGAAGTTATTTTTAGACTCTTGGTCAATGTGCTGCTGTTCCAGCTGGCGGAGGAGGCCGCTTCCTTTCCTGCCCAGCGATATTTTGCAATGCATTTGGTCTCCAAAGCTTCTGGAGGGGGGGGGGGGATGTGGAAATGGCCAAGGGCAAAGCCACAGAAGAACGAAGTGTGCAAATTCACTGGATTGTGTGTGGGTATGTGGGATGGAAATATCAAGCTTGGAAGCAACTGGAAGTTCCTGCCTCTGTTCTAGGAAGCCAAGCCAGAGGTAAATGTTTGGGACGCCTTCCTTAGGATCTAGGCCAGTGGTTCTCAACCTTTTTAATGCCACGAGCCCCCCCCCAAACCGGTCGTAAGTCGAGGACTACTCAACCGGTCGTAAGTCGAGGACTACTCAACTGGTGCAGCACCGTTTGCAGAATGGGACTTTTGGCGGGCTCAGCAGGGCAGAGACAGCCTGGACAATTCCTATTGGCTTTCGAAAGCCAATAGAATTAGACTCTATTCAAGAGAGTCTATTCTATTGGCTTTCAATAGCCAATAGAATAAAAGGGAGGAGCACAGCTAAGGAAAAGGGGGGGAAATGGCGGACTGCGTTGTTTGGCGACCCCCGTGAAATGGTCGTTCGACCCCAAATGGGGTCCCGACCCACAGGTGGAGAACCACTGATCTAGACCATGCTTCCAGGAATGTCCAGCTTTTTTTTTTTTTTTAAATGGGGAAATGTCTGTGGAGATTCTCAGTCACTCAGATCATAGTTATTCCAAAGGTGCTTTTTCACGAGACTTTCGCTCGACTTTCTTGTTTGTTTTTTTCTTTGAAGGCGTTTCGCTTCTCACGCAAGAGGCTTCTTCGGCTCTGACTGGAGGGTGGGGAATGTATAAATCCTTCCCTTCCCCACCCTCCAGTCAGATCTGAAGAAGCTTCTTGGATGAGAAGCGAAAGGTCTTCAAAGAAAACAACAACAACAAGAAAGCCTTCCAGTTGCCTCGTGAAAAAAAGCACCTTTGGAAGCCACCTGGAATTAAGGAGAAACTTCCTGACAGTGAGGACAATCAACCAGTGGAACAGCTTGCCACCAGAAATCGTGAGTGCTCCATCACTGGAGGTTTTTAAGAAGAACTGGACAGTCACCTGTCTGAGAAGGTATAGGTTCTCCTGCTTGAGCACGGGGCTGGACTAGAAGACCTCCAAGGTCCCTTCCAGCTCTATTCTGATTGATTGATTGATCTCATTGGGGTGGGGCCCTAATGTCCATTTGTCCAAGGGCTGTGCTGAGCTCCAGCATGGCTGAACAGACTCCAAGGCTTGCCGTGGCCCCGGTCGATTCCGGAGTGAGTGCATGCTGTGTGTCCCTGCAGCTGCCTTCTGAAGCCTCTGGGTGGGACTGTGCCGGGCCCTTCCCCACTTTGCCTGTCTGGATAATAACCAATTAATCTTCCCCGAAGTCCTTCGTGGATGCACTAACCACCTCCCTAACTCCTCCTTTGCATGCGCCCTCGTGCCCTGGACTGACGGAGGCTGCCCGCCATGTGCCAGGGAGCTGCTCTCTCTGCTCATCAATGGGGTAAGTATGCCGCCTTCCCTCTGGCGGGCATTGTGCCACCCCTGCTAGGTTGCCTTCCCTCTAGGGTGGCCATTCTGTCTCCCCCCCCCCTTTGTCTCTGCTTCAACTAAGACTGCTCTAATCCTGCCTCAGTGTCTCTCTCCATTCCTCGTTCCCATCACTTTGGGGGCTTCGGGCAAATTCCCCTTTGCTGCTCCCCTCGAGGGAGGGGCTGTTTGAGGGAGCTCAGGTTTTGATCTGGCATTTTTCCCGTGGGCACAGCAGCCTGAATTAGCAACCTGGGGAAAGGTGAGGCTTATGGAGGCCCCTGGGAGACGCAGGTCACCTTCCCTGACCAGCCATTTGCAATACGCAGCTGCAAGTAAAAGATTCATAATAGGATCTGGAAAAGCGTGGAGTGGGTTGATATCTCCGTGCAGAACTCCAGTTTGTAGTCAGTGGTGGAGACCGTCTAAACCAGGGGTCCCCAACCTCTGGGCCAAGGACCAGTCCCGGTCCATAACCTGTAAGAACTGGGCCTCACAACTGGAGGTGAGCAGCAGGTGAGCGAACGAAGCTTCCTTTATATTTGCAGCCGCTCCCCAATCTGCCATCACTGCCTCGGCTCCATTTCAGATCATCAGGCAATTAGATTCTCACAAGAGCATGAACCCTAGTGTAAACTCTGCATGTAGGGGATCTAGGTTTTATTTATGAGACTTATATACTGCTTTAAGTACAAGCACTCTCTAAGCGGTGTACAAGTCAGCAATGTATATATATATATATATATATATATATATATATATATATATATATATATATATATATATATACATTGCCCCCAACAATCTGGGTCCTCATTTTACCTACCCCGAAGGATGGAAGGCTGAGTCAACCTTGAGCCGGTGAGATTTGAACCGCTGACCTGCTGAACACAGCTAAAGTGGCCTGCAGGTTGCGTGCTTCCCCCCTTTCCACCTATGGAAAAACTGTTGTTGAAGGAAAAATCTTCATCAGGGTCCAGTCCAAGCCGGGAATAATCAAAACATGGAGACTGCTGTAGAAAGAAGGTTTCAGTTTATTGAAGAGGAGAGCCAGACAGAAAGATGGCTCTGGAAGAAAAGAGAGTGAGCACATGTAGGGAGTGGGTTTTTATACCCTCTGGAGCCTTTTGTTTGGAGTTGTTCCTGTGGCGTGAACTTTGACCTGAGTCTGAGTGTGCCTTTCTGGTATTCTGATGGTGGTGGGTTAATCCTATTATGTCCCAAAGGTCATATCCTGCTTCCCTGGGGCTGTGGCTAATGAGTGTTGGATTATTCGGTGTGAGGGATTGTTGATTCTAGAGATCTTTGTCTTTCTAATCCCAGTTCCTGATTCCAATCTTTCTGACAAGAATATCACATCTGCATTTCTGCAGACCTGGTTTCTGTTTGACACAGAGAGACTTGGCGGGGGGGGGGGGGGGTGTTGGTTTCTGCCTTTAAATTCCTTTGGGGAAATATATTCTGCCTTTTTAATATTTCCCAAAATATTTCTTTCTCTGGATTCTTCCCACGCTGTCTTCCACGAAACCGGTCCCTGGTGCAAAAAAAGGTTGAGGATCGCTGGATTAGACAGTTTGACAGCTCTTCTACAGATAGTTTGGGACATTTGTGATCAACTGAACAGCTTTCTACGAGAGAAAAGCATTACAGGGAGTCCTCAACTTACAACCACGATTGGGACCGCAACGTCCGTTGCTAAGCGAGGCAGTGGTTAAGTGACTGGCAACCCCTTTTGCAAGATTGTTAAGCGAATCCCTGCAATTGAACAGGGGGCTGGACTAGAAGACCTTCACGGTTCCTCCCAGCTCTATTCTATTCTATTCTATTCTATTCTATTCTATTCTATTCCTATTTCTGTTCTATTCCTATTCCTATTCCATTCATTCTGAATTCTATTCTATTCTATTCTATTCTACAATGTCTATTCTATTCTATTTCTTTCTGAATTCCTATTCTATTCTATATTCTATTCTATTCTATTCTATTCCTATTTCTGTTCTATTCCTATTCCATTCATTCTGAATTCTATTCTATTCTATTCTACAATCTTTCTATTCTATTCTATTTCATTCTATTCCATTCCATTCTATTCTATTCTACAATGTCTATTCTATTCTATTCTATTCTATTCTATTTCTTTCTGAATCCCTATTCTATTCTATATTCTATTCTATTCTATTCCTATTTCTGTTCTATTCCTATTCCTATTCCATTCATTCTGAATTCTATTCTATTCTATTCTATTCTACAATCTTTCTATTCTATTCTATTTCATTCTATTCCATTCCATTCTATTCTATTCTACAATGTCTATTCTATTTCTTTCTGAATTCCTATTCTATTCTATATTCTATTCTATTCTATTCCTATTTCTGTTCTATTCCTATTCCTATTCCATTCATTCTGAATTCTATTTATTCTATTCTATTCTATTCTATTCTACAATCTTTCTATTCTATTCTATTCTATTCTATTCCAATTGTTAAGTGAATCACACAGTCATTAAGCAAATCCGGTTTCCTCCATTAACGTAGCTGGAAAATTAACATTTAAAGTTAATTAAGCAGGCTGGAATGGTCCCAAAGGGCGATCACTTGATCCTAGGATCCCAGGACACTGCAATCATCACAAATACATACCGGTTGCTGGATCCCCGAATTTGGATCCTGCAACGGCTGGGATGCTGCAGTGATTGTAAATGGGAGGACCCAGTCGTCAGTCACCTTTTTCAGTGCCCTTGTAACTCTGAACAGGTCGCTTCTAGGTCAAGGACTACCTGCACAGGTAGTGCTTGACTTACAGCAGTTTGCTTAGTGACCGATTGAACTTGCAACAGCACTGAAAAAAAGTGACATGATCATTTTTCACACTTTTGACCATTGCCGCATCCCCACGGTCACGTGATTTATATTTGTATTTGTATTTATACTTGTACTTATATTTATACTTATATTTACATTTGTACTTATACTTATATTTATATTTACATTTACATTTGTACTTATATTTGTATTTACATTTACATTTGTACTTGTACTTATATTTACATTTACAGAAAGCTTTTTCAGACAGATCGGTCTGATTGATTGCACCTTGGCATTTTTTGACTGCTATACTGCAGTTCTACTTTCTGTATATACTCCCTTGACTCGGCTGACAAAGAAGGGAGGAGAGCTGGTGGCCTGCTGGTTAATACAACTGCCTAGCTTGTAAACTGCCCTGGTTCGAATCCCATAAAGGGTGTGGCTAGCTGATGAGGGCTAATGAGCCGGAAATAGCTATACTAGTCTCCCACTTAATTCTTTAACTCTTTGTCAGCAAAAAGAGATCTGAATATTTACATTTGTACTTATATTTGTAATACTTCTACATTTACATTTATATTTATTTGGATGCTTGACAACTGACTCGTATTTATGACGGTCGCAGTCCTGGGGTCCTGTGATCCCTTTTTGCAAGCCAAACCAGACTCACTTCACAACCGTGTTACTAATTTAACCACTGCAGTGATTCACTTAACAAACGTGGCAAGGAGAGTCATAAAATGGGGCAAAACCCACTTATAACAAATTTCTCACTTAGCAACCTTCCTTGTGGTTGTGAGCCGAGGACTGCCTGTAATCACATCCAGGGGCCAGTGGAACCGTAGTGACGAGTTCCTGGTCATCCCCTCAGCATCCCGGCTCCTCCGGGTTGGTCTCTCCCCAAAGCAGAAGGCCCGCAGCCAAACCTCCAGATGTGGGGGGGGGGCGAAATAGGGGAGACGCCTCTCGCGCCCCCTCACCTTCTCTCTCCTTGCAGCCGTCTGCGAGGGCAACTTCACCTGCACGGACAATGAGGTGTGTGTGAGACCCAACGAGTGTCGCTGTCGCCACGGCTATTTTGGGGCCAACTGCGAAACCAGTAAGCGTGGGAATGGGGGTGGGACGGGGGTGAATCTCCTACTTGGGCAACGGGCTGGACTAGATGACCTACAAGGTCCCTTCCAACTCTGTTATCCTACACTAATTCTAAACCTGCAAGCCTCCCCCAGGGAAAGAGGGCCATCAGGGGCCAGGACCCCCAGTCTCATCCAGGCCAGAGTTCCTACACACACACACACACACACACACGGTGTCCAGAAAATTGCGGATCCGAGAAGTCCCAGCTGTCCAGCAGAGAAGATAAATGGGGGAGCGGAGGTGATGATGGCGATCATGTTCGTGATGGTTATTTCACTTTTATATCTCATCTTTTTAGCTTGTTTGAAAGTGCTGCTTGTGAGCTTCTCAGACCTCAGGGATTAGGAAGACCCTCACCTGGGGGCTTTAGGCCAGTCACCAGCGCCCCACCTGTGAAGGAAACCTTGGCGTTGACCCCCCGATGTGCACTTCCTTTGCCCTCTCAGAGGAAAGGCAGGGAGAAAGAAAAAGATTTTATTAACCAAGCTTCTCATTCCCATCTCCTTCCTTCCTTCCTTCCTTCCTTCCTTCCTTCCTTCCTTCCTTCCTTCCCTGCTTCTCATTCCCATCTCTTTCCTTCCTTTTCCCTCCCTCCCTGCCTCCCTGCTTCTCATTCTCATCTCCTTCCTTCTTTCCTTCCTCCCTCCCTCCCTCCCTCTTTCCTTCCTTCCATGCTTCTCATTCTCATCTCCTTCCTTCCTCCCTCCCTTCCTTCCTTCCTCCATCCCTCCTTCCTTCCTTCCTTCCTTCCCTGCTTCTCATTCTCATCTTCCTTCCTTCCTCCCTCCCTCCCTCCTTCCCTGCTTCTCATTCTCATCTCCTTCCTTCCTTCCTCCCTCCCTCTTTCCTTCCTTCCATGCTTCTCATTCTTATCTCCTCCCTTCCTCCCTCCCTCCCTCCTTCTCAACTCCTTCCTTTCCTTCCTTCCTTCCTTCCTCCATCCCTCCCTCTTTCCTTCCTTCCATGCTTCTCATTCTCATCTCCTTCCTCCCTCCCTTCCTTCCTTCCTCCATCCCTCCTTCCTTCCCTGCTTCTCATTCTCATCTCCTTCCTTCCTTCCTTCCTCCCTCCCTCCCTCTTTCCTTCCTTCCATGCTTCTCATTCTCATCTCCTTCCTTCCTCCCTCCCTCCTTCTCATTCTCATCTCCTTCCTTCCTTCTTTCCCTGCTTCTCATTCTCATCTCCTTCCTTCTTTCCTTCCTTCCTTCCTTCCTCCCTCCTTCCTTCCCTGCTTCTCATTCTCATTTCCTTTTTTCCTTCCTTCCTTCCTTCCTTCCTTCCTTCCTCCCTCCCTCCCTCCCTCCCTTCCCTCCTTCCTTCCCTGCTTCTCATTCTCATCTCCTTCCTTCCTTTTTCCCTTTTTCCCTGGTGTTAGTGCAGGGGTCTCCAAACTTGGAAAATTTAAGACTTGTGGACTTCACCTTCCAGAATTCCCCAGCTAGTCATGGTGACTGGGGAATTCTGGGAGTTGAAGTCCACAAGTCTTAAACCTGCCACATACGGAGACGCCTGCTTCAATGCCAAGAAGATTTCCTAGTAAATGCCTCTTGTGGACTCTGAGTGCAAGTGGCCACTCCAGCCCAACTGACTTTCCCAGTTCAAATTTGTTAAATAGAAATTGGATAAATTCAATGGTGGGCAGCATTTCAAGGCTGACTCAGTCCCAGTATAATCAAGGCATCGAGGGACTTAATGATAACGAAAATACCAAATCCCAAACCGAAATGTTAAAAAGATGTAAATTGAAAATGGCACGGGAATTAATTAAGGATTAAAATGTGGGCAAACAGAAGCGAGAAAGTCCTTCTGTGGCAGAAGAGCAAGGCAATAAAGCAGTGTTTCTCAACCTCGACCATTTTAAGGCATGTGGACTTCAACTCCCAGAATTCCACAGCCAGCAATGCTGGCTGTGGAATTCTGGGAGTTGAAGTCCACATGCCTTAAAATGGTCAAGGTTGAGAAACACTGCAATAAAGACTAATCAAGAAATAGCCTAGAGCAGAGTTTCTCAACCTTTGCCACTTTACCGTGGGAGCCTTCCACTCCTGGAAGTTGAAATCCACAGATCTGAAAGTTGCCAGGTTCAGAAACGGTGAACTAGAGAGATTTGCCCAGAGGGAGCGGCATCTTCACCAGAGGGTCTTCTGCCACACCTGCTGACTCGGCAGAACAATAGTGGTACGGCTGTGTGGCGGCAGAGGTGCCGGTCAGCCCTCCTGCTTGCTGGCCTTTTAAAAAATGACTAGCATCAACAATCCACAGCCACTGTGCTATAACAGGGTAGAGTCGCTCAAACCTAACCATGGGGGGGGGGGGATTTATGGGAAGTGGGACCCCTCCCAGGGTGCTCCCCTCCTCCTCTCATCCCTTGCAGAGTGTCCCCGACTCTTTTGGGGCCCGGACTGCAAGGAGCTATGCAACTGCTACCCCAACGGGCAGTGTGAGGACGTGACGGGCCAGTGCACCTGCAACGCCAACCGCTGGGGGCCTCGGTGTGAGAACGTCTGCCTGTGCAAGCACGGGAAGTGCGATCAGAAGACGGGCAAGTGCTCCTGTGAGCCAAACTGGTGGGGGGCCCAGTGCGCCAGCGCCTGCTACTGCAGCCTCAACTCACAGTGCGATCAGAAGACGGGCCTCTGCATCTGCCAGCCGGGCTGGTGGGGGCGCACCTGCAACAATCAGTGCGCCTGCAGCACCTCGCCCTGCGAGCAGTTCACAGGGCGCTGCCAGTGTCGGAGCCGGACTTTCGGCCCTCGCTGCGACCGCTACTGTCAGTGCCACATGGGGAAGTGCAACCAGGTGGACGGGACCTGCACCTGCGAACCGGGCTACCGGGGCAAGTTCTGCCGCGAGGCCTGTCCGGCCGGCTTCTACGGACAAGGCTGCAGGCGACGGTAAGCAGGGCCCCCTCGGAGTTTCCCACACACACCCTCCGGGATTCGGAGAGGCAGGGCAGATGGGCAACACTCCACCCCGTGCCCAGCCCCTTTGGGCCTTTCATCGGAATAGCTCAGGGCAGCGTTCCTCAACCACAGCAAGTTTTAAGCTGGGCAGATTTCAACCCCCAGCAATCCCCAGTCGGCCACGCTTGCCGATTGGAGAGAGGTCTTCTGGGACTGACCGGCAGGTATCATGTGATCTTCCCCGTAAACTTTGAGCAAGGAGCAGCCTCTTTATGCAGGTTCAGTCCTACCGCAAGAAAAATGTTAAAAGAGACTGCAAGAGGTAACTTCTAAAAAGAATACATAATCCCCATACGTCCCTGATTGGCCCTTTGAGATCATTTATAACTTGAATTTTTTTCACCAAGGAACAGCCCTGGATTGTTAAACTGCTCAAAGAAAGCAGAATTGGGGGATTCCTCCAATTATCCGGGATGGTGAAGGGCAGAGTCTTGTCCGAGCGCCTTGTAGAATGTAGAAGATGGCAGAAGCTCCACGTGCAGGTTTGCCCTCTGCCACACACACACATACACACACACACACCAGTTCAGGAGAAATTTGATGTTTCAAAACGGACAATGTGCAACAAGGGGGATTTCAGCCTCCATCATCCCCAGCTGCCAGATCCCCAAACCACATTGGTTCAGGGTTTTCAGAGTTGCAGTGACTGAGCGAGAAAAAGGATCAAGTGACCTTAGGCGAATTCCACCTCTATCACAACACAGCCAGTTCCCGATAAACTTTGTCTGTAGCACTTGTTCTTGACTTACAACCACGATTGATATCAGAACTGGAATAGAATAGAATAGAATAGAATAGAATAGAATAGAATGGAATGGAATGGAATGGAATGGAATGGAATGGAATGGAGTGGAGTGAAGTGGAGTGGAGTTTATGGAATGGAATGGACTGGACTGGACTGGACTAGACTAGACTAGACTAGACTAGACTAGAATAGAATAGAATAGAATAGAATAGAATAGAATAGAATAGAATAGAATAGAATAGAATAGAATAGAATAGAATATATTTATTGACATTGTGTAACTCACAACAAATTTCTGTCCACAGTGCACACTACATACAAGCAAAAACCACAAATAAGAATAAAAATAAAATAAAAATAGTAAAAAAATAATTAAAAGAAAAGAAAAAATAATAAGTAAAAATAATCCCTAAATGAATGCTTGTGAATCAAGGACTATATCTGTACTAGTCTAAAGTTTCTCTTTGGATAGGGAAGAATCCCATCCTTTAAAAAAAATGGGAAGAAGTGCCCAGCAGCCTCTCTGCCAAGTGCCTGGTGGGCGCCAGGTGCCTGCTAAGGCCAGAATGAGCCAGCGCTCCTGCCAGGTGATTCTCCTGGCTTCGTGGCCCCTTCACGGCACTTTCGGCTTCATCTCTGCAGGTGCGGTCAGTGCAAGGAGCTGCAGCCGTGTACACTTGTGGATGGCCGTTGCCTGGCCTGCGAAGCTGGTTGGAACGGCACCAGGTGTGACCAGATCTGCTCCCAGGGCTTTTATGGCGAGGGCTGTGAGCAGACCTGCCCCCCCTGTAAGGACGGCCACACCTGCAACCACATCAACGGCAAGTGTTCCCACTGCAATCCAGGCTGGATCGGAGACAGGTGAGTGTCTGAGTACTGAGTGCCCTTGATCAGGGGTCCTCAACCTTGGCAACCTTAAGATTTGTGGACTTCAACTCCCAGAAGTCCTCAGCCAGGTTTTTATACCTTCTTGGGCTTTTGTGTTTGGAGTTGCTCCTGTTCCTGTGGCATGAACTTTGACCTGAGCTTCAGTGTGCCCTTTTGGTATTCTGATGGCGGTGGGTTAATCCTATGATGTCCTAAAGCAGGGGTCCTCAACCTTGGCAACTTTAAGACTTGTGGACTTCAACTCCCAGAATTCCTCAGCACACAAAACCATGCATCCTCCAGTCTGTGGAAAAACCTTTCTCCACAGAACCAGTCCCTGGTGCTCAAAGGTTGGGGACATTTGCTCTATGGTGCTTGGCATCTTTGATCAAGGATGAAAGACCCCAAGAGAAGATATGGGTGGTCCATTTGTGGAATAGCTTACATCCTTCATAGAACTGGGAAATTATTTACAATAGAGTAGAGTAGAGTAGAATAGAATAGAATAGAAGAATAGAATAGAATAGAATAGAATAGAATAGAATAGAATAGAATAGAATAGAATAACAGAATTGAACAGGATCTTGGAGGTCCTCTAGTCTCACCCCCTGCTCAGGCAGGAAACCCTATACTATTTCAGACAAATGCCTGTCCAATCTCTTTGTAAAAACTTCCAGTGTTGGAGCATTCACAACTTCTGGAGGCAGGTTGTTCCACTGGTTAATTGTTCTGTCAGGAAGTTTCTCCTTAGTTCTAGATTGCTTCTCTCCTTGATTGGTTTCCATCCATTGCTTCTTGTCCTGCCTTCAGGCGCTTTGGAGAATAGCTTGATTCCCTCTTCTTTGGGGCAGCCCCTGAGATACTGGAAGGCTGCTATCATGTCCCCCCTCGTCCTTCTCTCCGTTAAACTAGACATACCCAACTCCAGCAACCGTTCCTTATATGTTTTAGCCTCCAGTCCCCTAATCATCTTTGTTGCTCTTCTCTGTACTCTTTCTAGAGTCTCAGCATCTTTTTTACATCGTGGTGACCAAAACTGGATGCAGTATTCCAAGGCATTGTAAAGTGGTATTAACACTTCATTGTTCATTTGATGATCTTCCCTGAAGGTGTTTGGCTGTGAATTTATCAGTTGTCATTAAATTAAGGAGTGGTATTAAAACAGTTTGTTAGTAACTACAGGGGCATCCCCAGGTAAGGGGGGGGGAGTCAACAAAGTTGAGATGGTGGGTACTACTGTATGATCAAAGCCCAGCCCCCTTTTTACAGGTATGACCTGGGGGATATGCATAAAAGGTCGCGTGGCTTCAATTGCACAGCTCTGACTGGCATCTTAACTTGTTTTGATCACTACCCTTTCTACAGGCACCCCTGTTTATTTCTATTATTTATTGTGTTGATATCTTGATTTGTGTTGATATGTTGATTTACTGATTTTCATTTGTTACTTTGATTGTTAGGATTTTTTTGAGATTTTATTAGTAGTATTTACTTAATAGATCAACGTATTTGTTTGCTAATTGTTTTTAATATGGTAAAAATGGTTGAATATGATATTTACTCATTATTATGATCCGGACGGTAGCTTGTTTGTTGAAATATGTGATTGTACCTATCCTTATTTTACCCTAATTCCTTATTCCCTCCCCCCTTTCCTTCCACCCCTCCCTTTACCATACCTGTATTGTTCCTATTTTTCCTCATCTATATAAACTTAATAAAATTTTGTTAAAAAAAAAAAACATTAGTGGCTTGGCTGGATCTAGAGATGCCCTGTGCTCCTGCAGCTAGCGCCCCAAAACCAACCCTGAACCTCCAGATAGACATAAGCCCTAGCTCCCTTACTTTGTTTTGTCTTGCTGCTCTTTTTTCCAGGTGCGAGACCAAATGCCGCAATGGGACGTACGGCGACAACTGTGTCTTCGTCTGCAGCAGCTGTTTTAACGGGGAGTGCCACTTTGAGACCGGGAGGTGCCTCTGCCGAGCCGGATTCCACGGGATGTTGTAAGTGACCGGTACATGGGAAGACTCAGCCCCCACCCACCCCCACCCCACCTCTGGGCAAGACTGGGCTTAGCCAAGGAAGCTGGGAAACATCTGTGATCTTGCTTGCTCAAGCAAAGCAAAATGGAATAGGTGCTTTTCTTAAGAAGTCCATAAGGCTGAAAACATAATTTATCTTACTGACTTGCAGCTGTTTCCCCTTCTTTTTATGACCAGGTGGTTTGTGCTCTTTAAGGGAATAAACAAATACAGGGGTGCCCCTGTTTCCTGTTGGGTCCTCCTTGCTAATGAGCCACTTGGATCCGTGTTTACAGCAGGGTTCCTCAACCTTGCCTTGAAGGTTTAACTCCCAGAATTTCCCAGTCAGCCACACTGGGGAAATAAAACTAATATACAAGCACTGAAAGAAGCAGGCTGAGTGGGGAATGCTGGGAGTTGAGGTCCATACATTTTTAAGCTGTGGAGGTTGAGAAACACCTGGTTGGGAGACTAGCCAGACCAGTTAGATAAGCAGGAAAGTGTCACCATTTAGATATCATTTTATACACTTCATAAATGTCTCGTTCATGCATAGACTTATATGACAATGAGGCGTAAGTTCTCAACCTCAGCAGCTTTCATTTCAGTGGATCTCTGCTCCCAGAATTCCTCAGCCAGTTTGCTTCCATTGGTTCGATATCTGCCTCTTTTAATTCAGAGTCATCCGGGGTCAATGCCTACACGGGCCCCCAGGACCGCTTTTGACCAGATCCTGCTTGGGTTTAGAGGGGTGGAAATACTTTAAAGCAGTGGTTCTCAACCTTTTTAATGCCGCGACCCACCAACCGGTCATAAGTCGAGGACTACCCAACCGGTCGTAAGTCAAGGACTACTCAACTGGTGCAGCACCGTTTGCAGAATGGGACTTTTGGCGGGCTCAGCAGGGCAGAGACAGCCTGGATAATTCCCATTGGCTTTTGAAAGCCAATAGAATTAGACTCTATTCAAGAGAGTCTATTCTATTGGCTTTCAAAAGCCAATAGAATAAAAGGGAGTAGCACAGCTAAGGAAAAGGGGAAAAAAATGGTGGACTGCGTTGTTTGGCGACCCCCGTGAAATGGTCGTTCGATCCCAAATGGGGTCCCAACCCACAGGTTGAGAACCACTGCTTTAAAGGAGCAAAGTCTATGCCCCCAGCCCTGCAAAGGGTTAATGCATCCATCTCACTTCTTTTTTTAAAAGAAAAAAGAAACTGTTTTCTTCAATTTCTTTCTAGGTAAGGCCAAAGAGTGGATAGGTTCTTAAGTTTTTCCTCCTTCCCCCAAATAAATGTAGGATCCTACCCACTTTCTCAAAAAAGAGTAGCCTTTAAAAAATACTAAAACAGCATCTTTGTGGCCAGCAGAAAGCTGTCCCCCTATGGCTGAATTGAGAAGCACAAGGTCTTTGTTTCCTGTCTTCCACAGTTCTTTAGCTTTGGCAGAAAAAAAACATCCTGTTTTTTTTCATGTTTAGTCATGGCATGCTTATTCAAGACAAAGCTCATATTTATTGTCCTGGTTTTTTTTTTTTCCCAACAAATTCTTGCTGTGTTTTCAGCAAAGAAAGCTGACTCCTCCCTCACAGTGAAGGGGGAATCTTCCTACACACCGTTTCTTGTCTAATTATATATGTAAAACACAATTCTTGCACGCTTAGGCGTCTCTTTGTGTTTTCTTCAACATCTGCTTTCCCAACCTGGTGCACTCATCAGTGTGTTGGGATTAAAATTCCCATCATTCCCAGATGGACTGCAAGATGCTTCATCAGCTCCAGCCAGTTTTCACTAGCCTGCTAAAGCCCTGTTTCTCAACCTTGGCAATTTTAAGTTGGGAGGACTACAACTCCCAGAATTCCCCAGTCAGCACGTATGAAAAAAACCATCTGTATAATGAAATCACAAGCTTCAGGATAGTCCAGTGAGGGTCTTAAGGCTTGTTAATAACTGGCTCCAGGATCTATGAAGAAGACGGAAGCAGCTTCTGAATTTAGTTCAGAGATGGGTCCCCACATCCTCCCAAAAGCTCTTCGTGTTTCTTGAAGCCATCGTTGGCCACAATTGCTGAAAAGTGTCAATGCCTGTGGTTGCAAGAATGGTAGGATCGGTATCTCTGTTCCCTATAAAACTATAAAAGTCCTAGATATTGTTACCAGTGATGAAAGTCTTCATCAGGGTCCAATCCAAGCTGGGAATAAACAAAATGGAGACTGCTTTAGAAGGAAGGTTGTAGTTTGAGAAGCAGAACCACAAGACATGTGGCTCTGGGGCAGCTGACCACGTGATGCCGGGAGTGGTGGGTTTTTATACCTTCTTGGGCTTTTGTGTTTGGAGTTGCTCCTGTTCCTGTGGCATGAACTTTGACCTGAGGTTCAGTGTGCCCTTTTGGTATTCCGATGGTGGTGGGTTAATCCTATTATGTCCTAAAGGTCATGTCCTGCTTCCCTGGGGCTGTGGCTAGTGGCTGTGTGCTGTGTTGTTGTTTTTTTGGGTGAGGGATTGCTGGTTCTAATTCTGTCACTCTGCTATTGTTAGCTATCAACTCTTGATCCAAGGGATTTCAAAAGATCCTATCTTGAATGGGCTTCTGCAGGTACTATTTGCTCATGAATGGGGCCGAATGGGATCATCAAATCTGCATTTCTACAGAGCTGGCCTGCTCAGATTCTGTTTGGGGCTATTAAGAAAAACTGGGCCTACTTTTCTATCTTTAAAATCCTTCAGGGGAAATATAATATTCTGCCTTTTTAATATTCCCCCAAATATTTCTTTCTCGGGGGGGGGTGACTTCCCACACCAGATTGGAGGATATGCAGTTATGAAAATTATCCTGTAATTGGCCCTTGGACATCATTAATTGTCTGTAATCAACCCCCAAAGCTGGGACATTTTCCAAATATATCTCGTCCTTTCTCCCTCCCTCCCTCCTTCCTTCCTGCTTTTTCTTTCATCCTATGTCTATCCCCCTTCTTTCTTTTCTCAGTTTCCTTCCTTCCTCTTGCACCGCTGCTGCCGAGTTCCAGAAATGTCTGTGTAACACATTTTGCACATTTGTAAACCAGGTTGTGGGGGGGGGGGAAGAGGCAACTTGATTTTTATCCCCTACATTGCTCCGGGCAAACTATGAAAGGACTTTGACAAAGATGGAAGGGAAGCCCTGAGACACACTAAAAATAGGCTTGGTGGAGAATTTCTCCTTTTGGCTTTTGGAGGATGAGTGTGCTATTCCCAGTCAGTTGGGACAGATTGCCTGGATTTGTTTGTGCCATCAGAAAAGCTGAAAGTTGGCTTAGGCAGTGTTTCTCAACCCTGACATGTTTAAGATAGGTGGGCGGTGGCAGGGAGCAGGTCTACAGCAGGGGTCTCCAACCTTTCTTCGTTGGCGGCCTGGTGCAGGGGTGTGTGGAGACACCTTTATGCGCATGCATGCACGAAGGAGGCCACAATTGCGTGTGTGATGCAAACGGGGCCACGAACCCCTGCACAACGCTCATGCAATGCGCCCGCCGCCGTGATGCTAGCGCGAGTGGGGCGAATGTGCGCTCGTGGCGACGATAGCATCACAAGATTGCTGACCTTTCCAGAACTCACTATTCTTTTGCTGCAAACCTATTAAAATGCAAAATTCTGCAGAACTGCAAACTCTCCACAAGAGTCATCAAATTGAAAACAGCACAGCAGGCAGGAAGTGCGTTCTTTTGTTGAGCTGGCCAGCTTGCAGCTGCTGGGAAGAGCCAGGCCGCCATGGCCCTGAGGAGGCCAGGATCCAAACCAAGGAAAAAGCTCCGGAGGTCCAAGAGGCATCAGCATTCCTGGGGGGGGGGGGGGATGGCCACTTTTGCAGGCCGAGCCTCCTCCCGTCAGCCCCCTCCAGCCAGTTCGGACCAGGGCTTAGCTCACTCGGCTGGTGAAAATCCTCAGCAGACTCTCCATTTGTCCCATGCAAGTTTGGATGATGGATTGCCACCATAAAGCTGGTTTCGTCCTGCTGAGAAGTGAAGGCTCGCTGGGACCTTAACGGGGGTCTCCAGATGTGGGGGGGGGGAGAGCCATTGTAGCATCCACCACGTTAGGCGCCAGGTTTGTAAGGTTTTCCACAATTGCCCCAGCATTACTCAGGAATTTAAAAGAGCCAAAGAAACTCCTGAGCCGAGGTTTCAGCAAGCAAACAACTTTTATTTTGATCAAAATAGAGTTTGGGTGACCCCATCTCTCTTCATGGCTGGTAGAGAGATGAAGGCAACAACCAGGAAAGATGGCTTCCACCTTTTATACCTTTTCAGAACAAAGAGATCAGGTCTTGGTACCAGGCATAAGATGGCACCCAAAAAATAATTCCTAGATGATGACTCATAGACAGCAACCCAGGCTCCATCCATAACTCCTCTTACTGTGCTCTTTTCATATAAGCAATCACCTGTACCTAAAGCATGAAGCCTTTACTTTTCTAATATATATATATATATATATATAAAGCAGTGGTTCTCAACCTGTGGGTCGGGACCCCATTTGGGGTCGAACGACCATTTCACGGGGATCGCCAAACAACGCAGTCCACCATTTTTTTCCCCCTTTTCCTTAGCTGTGCTCCTCCCTTTTATTCTATTGGCTTTTGAAAGCCAATAGAATAGACTCTCTTGAATAGAGTCTAATTCTATTGGCTTTCAAAAGCCAATAGGAATTGTCCAGTCTGTCTCTGCCCTGCTGAGCCCGCCAAAAGTCCCATTCTGCAAACAGTGCTGCACCAGTTGAGTAGTCCTCGACTTACGACCGGTTGAGTAGTCCTCGACTTACGACCGGTTGGGGGGGGTCACGGCATTAAAAAGGTTGAGAACCACTGATATAAAGCATCTGATCAAGCAGTTAACTACAAAACAATGATGACAAACTAACAAAACAATGATTACATGATAACACTATAAGTAACAATATAAAATGGTTACTATATATAAAATGACGACAGAGAATGAGATGGCTGGATGGAGTCACTGAAGCAGTAGGTGTGAACTTAAATGGACTCCAGAAGATGGTAGAGGACAGAAAGACCTGGAGGAACATTGTCCACAGGGTCGCGATGGGTCGGACACGACCTCGCAATTAACAACAACATATATAAAATAAATGCTAATGTCAAACTTAAACATGCTAAAATCATAAGCACAATAAAATCCCTTCACTACTTAAAGCTGTTAAAAGAAAAACGACTATGGGGTATCTTTAGCCTTGCAGGCCACTCGTTTGACTCCTTCCGCTTCTCCGAGTCCTCCAGCGTTGCCCCAAAGCCTCCCCCATGGAGGCTCTGGGGAAGTTAGATAAACCCACCCGCTGGACTCAACGCAAACCTGGGTGAACTGCTTGCTAGACCTACAATTTGGAGGGAGACTTTGTTGTTGTTGTTAATTGCAAAGTCGTGTCCGACCCATCGCGACCCCATGGACAATGTTCCTCCAGGCCTTCCTGTCCTCTACCATTCATCTGGAGTCCATTTAAGTTCACACCTACTGCTTCAGTGACTCCATCCAGCCACCTCCTTCTCTGTCGTCCCCTTCTTCTATTGCCCTCCATCTTTCCCAGCATTAGGCCCTTCTCCAGTGAGTCCTTCCTTCTCATTAGGTGGCCAAAGGACTTGAGTTTCAACTTCAGGATCTGGCCTTCTAAAGAGCAGTCTGGGTTGATCTCTTCTAGAACTGACCAGTTTGACCGCCTTGCAGTCCACGGGACTCGCAGGAGTCTTCTCCAGCACCAGAGTTCAAAGGCCTCCATTCTTTGGCGCTCAGCCTTTCTTACGGTCCAACTTTCACAGCCATACATTGCAACTGGGAAAACCATGGCCTGGACTATACGCACTTTTGTTGGCAGGGTGATGTCTCTGCTTTTTAGTATTCTGTCTAGATTTGCCATAGCTTTCCTCCCCAGAAGCAAGCGTCTTTTAATTTCTTGGCTGCAGTCCCCATCTGAGGTGATCTTGGAGCCCAGGAAGATAAAATCTGTCACTGCCTCCATTTCTTCCCCATCTATTTGCCAGGGATTGAGAGGGCTGGATGCCATGATCTTGGTTTTCTTAATGTTCAGTTTCAAGCCAACTTTTGCACTCTCCTTCTTCACCCGCATCAAGAGGCTCTTTAGTTCCTCTTCACTTTCTGCCATTAGAGTGGTATCATCTGCATATCTTAGGTTGTTGAAAGGGAGACTTTAGTGGCCATTAAAAAGAGCTAAGGGCCAGGGATGTCCATAAAAACCAAGAAGAAAGGCACGGCTATAGCTGAAGCCCCCTCCCTTTTTCAACATACATTAAAAATGATGCTGTTGCAGCTGCCAGATGGAAATTTTCTGGGGTTTTTTTTTTTTTTTTGGCAGTCACGTTCCAAGGATTTGTTTGCTCAGGGGTTGGCAGGGAGCCAGCGAGTTTTGTGGTTGGGGTCTACCTCATTTTTTCCAGCCTCTGAGGACCCCCAATGGGGAGGCTGTGGTGGTACAGCAAAGGCACTGAATGGGCAGGGGTCCAAATGTTGGCTCTTCTTTGTTTTTGGTGGGGGGAACATGGATACGAGAAACCTTCCGGGGTTTCACAGATCTATTCTGGTGCTTATTTAAAACAAAAAATGTGAAAACGTAGAGCAGCAAATTTTAACCAGGCATTCTTTATGTGTATTTAGCTACCCATCATAAAATAACTCTAATTGGTTTGCAACCCATAAAACGGGGTAAAAGCAAGGGGATAAATAAACAATAAAAATAAAGATAAAATCTAGGGATGCCAGGACCGACATTCCCTCTAAGGCAGTGGTTCTCAACCTGTGGGGTCGGGACCCCATTTGGGGTCAAACGACCATTTCACGGGGGTCGCCAAACAATGCAGTCTGCCATTTTTTTCACCCTTTTCCTTAACTGTGCTACTCCCTTTTATTCTATTGGCTTTTGAAAGCCAATAGAATAGACTCTCTTGAATAGAGTCTAATTCTATTGGCTTTCAAGAGCCAATAGGAATTGTCCAGGCTGTCTCTGCCCTGCTGAGCCCGCCAAAAGTCCCATTCTGCAAACGGTGCTGCACCAGTTGAGCAGTCCTCGACTTACGACCGGTTGAGTAGTCCTCAACTTACGACCGGTTGGGGGTCGCGGCATTAAAAAGGTTGAGAACCACTGCTCTAGGGAATACCCCTAGAAGTTGTGGGGGGTGGGGAGACATGATAGCAGTCTTCCAATATCTCAGGGGCTGCCCCAAAGAAGAGGGAGTCAAGCTATTCTCTAAAGCGCCTGAAGGCAGGACAAGAAGCAACGGGTGGAAACTAATCAAGGGGAGAAGCAACCTAGAACTAAGGAGAAACTTCCTGACAGTGAGAACAATTAACCAGTGGAACAACCTGCCTCCAGAATGCTCCAACACTGGAAGTTTTTAAGAAGAGACTGGACAGCCGTATGTCTGGAACGGTAGAGGTTCTCCTGCTTGAGCAGGGGGTTGGACTAGAAGACCTCCAAGGTCCCTTCCAGCTGTAAGATTCTATGTTCTTTCTTCTCCTTGGGCCACTACTCAATTCCTCTTTTGGTGCTCTCCTCTCTCTTCTTCCTGCTTGGAGCATCAGCACAATGACAGGAAGGCGGGTCTGGTGTGCGGGCCATGAAGCTCTGTGGCCAAGAGGGAGCCATGCTCAGGAGAGTCCCACACTTGGGCTGAGGCTCTGCAGGTCACCCAAAAATGGATGCAGAGAATGGCCGATGGCTTTTCTTGCCTTTGCCCATTGACCAGTAGCTGCCTTCATAGGAACAGGTCAAGCTGGGCTCAAGCTGTCCGGCCAGGATGTGCCTCCTTCTCCTCATCCAGGGTCCTGGTCCCTTTGGGGCCAAATGGCAAAGAAGCAGCTCTCCAGACTGAATCCTATGGTGTGTGGAGACTTTGGGTTTCACAAATGGGTTTCCTGTCAGTGAGGACAATCAACCAGTGGAACAACTCATCCCCCGAAATGGTGGGTGCTCCATTGCTGGAGGTTTTTTTAAAAAGAGACTGGACAATCACCTGTCTGAGATGGTATAGGTCTGTGGGGGCGAACCTACGGCACGGGTGCCAGAGGCGGCACGCAGAGCCCTCTCTGTGGGCACGCGCGCCGTCGCCCCGGTCCTAGGCCTTCAGCTGGGTTTCATAAAAACTTTTCGCTTTAGGCCTCCGCCGCCATGTGCAAAAAAAAAAGGGGGGGGTTTCAATTAATCAGTCAATTTCTTGCGGGAAAAAAAAAGATCTCGCAAAGTTGGAATTGATTGATTGAACTTTTTAGTCCCAGCCAGTCTGCCATTACCACCGAAGTCACGCCACGCCCACCCAATGGGCCACGCCCACCCGGCACCCAATGATACATAATAATAATAATGATAAAAGTTGGAAGGGACCTTGGAGGTCATCTAGTCCAACCCCCTGCTCAGGCAGGAAACCCTATACCATTTTGGACAAATGGCTGTCCAGTTTCTTCTTATAAACTTCCAGTGTTGGAGCATCCACAGCTTCTAGAGGCAGGTCGTTCCACTGGTTAATTGTTCTAGCTGTCAGAAAGTTTCTCCTTAGTTCTAGGTTGCTTCTCTCCTTGGTTAGTTTCCATCCGTTGCTTCTTGTCCTGCCTTCAGGCGCTTTGGAGAATAGCTTGACTCCCTCTTCTTTGGGGAAGCCCCTGAGATATTGGAACACTGCTATCGTGTCCCCCCTCGTACTTCTCTTCGTTAAACTAGTGGCTTTTGGGTTGCAGTTTGGGCACTCGGTCTCTAAAAGGTTCGCCATCACCGGTATAGGTCCTCCTGCTTGAGCAGGAGGGTTGACTAGAAGACCTCCAAGGTCCCTTCCAGGTCTATTCTATTCTAAATTGCAAGGCTGGTCTAAAAGGGGGTAGAGTAGGATATGAGTCAGTGTGTAATGGGAACCCATGGAGTCATTGGGCAAGTTGCCCCGTTGCCCGAAGTAGTGAGAAGGTTTTATTTGAAGAGGCAGAGAAATGCGTATTATTTCTATTGGAGCATCTACCAAGATGCCCGCAAGTTGCAACGTAACTCCTGGGCACCGTTTTGGGAGACCCTGCCTTCGGTCAGGCAAACGTTAAATGTGCCATTGTCCCACCGCGCTTTCCAGTAGGGCTTCTCTAGAGTCATTTAAATCGAAGGTTGTGGTGAGCAGCAATCACAATCCGCTCTCCGAGGACGGGAACCAACCTCTTTGGCGTCTTCTTCCTTCGCCAGCTGCAACCTCACCTGCCCAGCTGGCCATTATGGTGCAAACTGCGCTCAGCAATGCGATTGCCACGAGGACACCTGCAACCCCTTCACCGGCATGTGCCACATGGGTAAGTCCTTGGCCAACCTTTCCCCCCCCCAGCCCCAGACCTTCTTGCCCCAGCTGGGTGGGGGAGGTGCAAGGGGGTCCCAACAGCCCCCTCGCATTGCCACAGCCACCCTTTTGCCTTTTTTCAACCCCGTCTGCAACATACACACACACACACACACACACATGTCCCACCTTGCCAGGGCAGCCGGCTTGTGGCCCACGGCTGCTTGCTCTGCCCACTGACTCTTGCCAGCCTCTTTTCCGCAGAGGCCAATCAGCGGATGGGAGTGATTGGCGCCGGAGTGCTCCTGGTCTTCTTGCTCTGCCTCCTCCTCTCCCTGTTGTCCTGCTGCTGCATTTGCCGCAAAAAGGATGAGGCCCGGGAGTGAGTACCCAATGGGGGGGGGAGCCTCTGTGGGGGAGGGGGGGCTGGGAGGAGGGAATCTACGGGGAACTGGCTTTCCGGAACAGAGCCCTGGCAGGAAGGGGTGTCGGGACGGGGGGGGGAGGAAGGACGGGCCCGGAGCCACTTCCATCTGGCCAGCTTCCCTTGGCTGCCCAAATTCCTAAGAACCATTATAGGGAGTCCTCGGCTTACGACGGCCGTGGAGCCCAGCATCTCTGCTGCTACGCAAAACGGTTGTGAAGTGAGCTCCGCGCCGTTTTACAGTTGTTGTGCAATGGGTAACCCCGTTGTTAAGTGAACCCGGCTTCCCCCATTGACTTTGCTTGTCAGACAGTCGCAAAAGGGGATCACCGGATCCCCCAGGACGCTGAGTCAGTTGCCAAGTGCCAGAATTTTGGATGACGTGACCCTGGGGGTGCCGCAACAAGTCGTCAGCGTGGAAAACGGCCATAACTCACTTTTTCAGGGATGTTGTAACTTTGAACGACCACTAAACGGAGTCAAGGATTAGCTGTAGTCAGGGGAAGAGGCTGCCTCCCGGAGCTGTGGGTGCGCCATCGCTGGAGGGTTTTTAAGAAAAGTCTGGATGACCATTTGTCCGGGATGGGTTGGGCTACAAGACCTCTGAGGTCCCTTCCAGACTGCAGCGGTATATAAGTGCGATGGCTATCCATGCAGCCATTTTTGACCGTGGTCTCAGCTGGTTGTCCCGTTTCCTTCACAGCATCCGCCAGGACTTGGCTCATAAAAAACCTTCAAGGCGCCTTTGCGGACAGTTCAGCCAAATCAGCCTGAAGTTGCCTCGTATCCCCCTGCGCCGTCAGAAGTTGCCAAAAGTTGTAGGTAAGCATCCACGCCACTCCACGGTCCAGGTCACGGGTCCGTCCGGCTAGTGGACACGAAAGTGGGAGGGGGTGGCTGATACCAGGAGAAGGGTTTTGGCCACACAGTCATCGCCGCCAGTCTGATGCTTGTGACCCCCTCCCTGGGGATGCCCCTGGCATAAACTGAACAATTGCGTGCCCGTACAGCAGCATCTCTCGTCCTTGGCAACTGTAAGACGTTGTGGACTTCAGCGCCCAGAATTCCCACAAGGGAATGCCGGCTGTGGAATTCTAGGAGTTGAAGTCCACTCGTGCTAAAGTTGCCAGAGTTGAGAAAGAGTGCCTTATGGAGAGGTAAACTCTGCCACCACCACCACTACCACCACCACCACCCCCGGCCAAAGTGCGAAATTCCCACAGAGAAGGAAAATGCAAGGAGTGAGGCTTCTTTTGGTAGCTTGCCTCGATCCTGGATCATCCATCCTCACAGCATATAGCAGTGGTTCTCAACCTGTGGGTCGGGATCCCATTTGGGGTCGAACGACCATTTCACGGGGGTCGCCAAACAACGCTGTCCGCCATTTCCCCCCCCCTTTTCCTTAGCTGTGCTACTCCCTTTTATTCTATTGGCTTTTGAAAGCCAATAGAATAGACTCTCTTGAATAGAGTCTAATTCTGTTGGCTTTCAAAAGCCAATAGGAATTGTCCAGGCTGTCTCTGCCCTGCTGAGCCCGCCAAAAGTCCCATTCTGCAAAGGGTGCTGCACCAGTTGAGTAGTCCTCGACTTACGACCGGTTGGGGGTCGCAGCATTAAAAAGGTTGAGAACCGCTGGCATATAGGAACAAGGAATCACTTGTTCAGTGGTGGGGAGCTGAGCTGCTCATTAAATGGGGCCGGGGGAGGCCTCGGGCACCAAGCACCCCAGGCAACTAGATTCTCAGGTGACAGGAGTCTCTTACATGGGAGATTGGAGCCTCTTTGTGCTACTGGAGACTCTCGGCTATTATGGTCCTCAAGGAGAAAAGGAGACAAAGCTCTGGGCAGTAAGGAGAATGTTAGAATTGAATGCTAAATAACAGAGTTGGAAGGGGCCTTGGAGGTCATCCAGTCCAACCCCCCGCTCAAGCAGGAGAACCTATACCATTTTAGACAAATGGCTTTCCAGTCTCTTCTTAAAAGCCTCCAGCTTTGGAGCACCGACAACGTTTGGAGGCAAGCCGTTCCACTGATTAATCTTTCTAATTAATTAATTCTGGAGAAATCACACACAGAACATAAAATAGGGCTGTAAAGGACGTTGTTGTTGTTGTTCAGTCACTAAGTCATGTCCAGCTCCCGGGAACCCATGGACCACAGCACGCCAGGCCCCTCTGTCCTCCACTGTCTCCCTGAATCCGCCCCATTGTGTCGATGACACTGTCAGAAAGAACCCTGGAGGTCTTCCCTTGCTCAGTAGTAGCAACTGTGAGAGGGATCTTGGAGTCTTAGTGGACAATCACTTAAATATGAGCCAACCGTGTGCTGCAGCTGCCAAAAAAGCCAACACAGTGCTAGGCTGCATTAACAGAGGGACAGAATCAAGATCACGTGAAGTATTAATATCACTTTACAATGCCTTGGTAAGGCCACACTTGGAATACTGCATCCAATTTTGATCACCACGATGTAAAAAAGATGTTGAGACTCTAGAAAGAGCGCAGAGAAGAGCAACAAAGATGATTAGGGGACTGGGGGCTAAAACATATAAGGAACGGTTGATGGAATTGGGAATGTATAGTCTAATGAAGAGAAGAACGAGGGGTGACAGGATAGCAGTCTTCCAATATCTCAGGAGCTGCCCCAAAGAAGAGGGAGTCAAGCTATTCTCCAAAGCGCCTGAAGGCAGGACAAGAAGCAACGGATGGAAACTAACCAAGGAGAGAAGCAACCTAGAATTAAGGAGAAACTTCCTGAGAGTTAGAACAATTAACCAGGGGAACAACCTGCCTCCAGAAGTGGTGAATGCTCCAACACTGGAAGTTTTTAAGAAGAGACTGGACAGCCATTTGTCTGAAACGGTATATGGTTTCCTGCCTGAGTGGGGGGTTGGACTGGATGACCTCCAAGGTCCCTTCCAGCTTTATTATTGTTGTTATTGTTGTTGTTATTATTATTACCTGCTGCTCAAGGAAGAGGCCTATATCATTCCAGACAAATGGCTGTCCAAACTCTTGGGTATGTCTAGTTTAATGAAAAGAAGGACGAGGGGTGACATGATAGCAGTGTTCCAATATCTCAGGGGCTGCCCCAAAGAAGAGGGAGTCAAGCTGTTCTCCAAAGCTCCTGAAGGCAGGACAAGAAGCAACGGATGGAAACTAATCAAGGAGAGAAGCAACCTAGAACTAAGGAGAAACTTCCTGACAGAACAATTAACCAGTGGAACAAGCTGCCTCCAGAAGCTGTGAATGCTCCAACACTGGAAGTTTTTAAGAAGAGACTGGACAGCCATTTGTCTGAAATGGTATAGGGTTTCCTGCCTGAGCAGGGGGTTGGACTAAATGATCTCCAAGGCCCCTTCCAACTCTGTTATTCTGTTTTATACTATTCTTTTTTGAAACCTCCTCCAACGATGGAGCACCCACCGCTTCTGGGGGCCAGCCACGCACTGTTCGATTGTTCTTACTGATAGAAAAGATTTATTCTTAGCAGTGCTTAACCTTGCTGGGTGAATGTTGTACAGGGCTGGGGAAAATGTTGCCTTGCCCTGCCTTGGTGGATGCGCCTTTTCAGCCGAAAGCAAAGAGGGAGCAATTTTTTTTTTAATAATTTTTTATTTTTCCAAACTCTCCCCCATACATATACCGTAATACTTATCAGATATTAACATACATTCCCTCCACACTCACATACAGATACTTTTAAAAAAATGAAATAAATGCATACACATAACTTTGGTGTTGCTCGTCCATTTCCCCTTTCACCGTATCCACACTCCTTCTTCTTTACCTTCTTTCTCCCTTTCTTCTCTTCCCTACTTCCCTCTTCTTCCTCTCCTCTCCTTCACCACTCTCCTTCCCTTTCCTCTTCCTCCAACCTTCCTACTTCCTTCTCCCCTCCTTTACTCTTTTCTCTCTCCTCTCCTTTCTTCATCTTTCTTCAGATACAATTCAGGGGTAATGTCCGAGCAACTCCTCTCTCCAAATTTCCCTATATGTATTATATACAATAAGATTAATACTTCTATTTATCTAAACTTCTCGGTATATACTTCTATAAACATTTATACAGCCTGCAGTTATTCAATACTGTGTCACCTGGGTCTCCCTCCTTATCTGCTGAAAAGAGGGAGCAAATTATTGACATCCAGATCATCATGGAATAAAATCTGTTCCACTGCTGCCATCCAATTTAGAGGGATCCCCTAATCTCCTGGTTCTGCAGAGCAAACAAACAAAACAAAACTCCTTTTAAGTGAACATTTGAAAATCAACAAGCAGCGGGAGGTTATCCAGCCAGTCAAACTCTTTGTGATCAAGGGCATAATTTTAATCAGGCCCATCTGTCCAAAACTGTCTCCTTGATTTCTGTCAACTCCTTTTCCAATTTTGATTTTTTTTTTTTATTCAAATATCAGTGTCTGATTCTTGCCTTTGCATTGTGCCTCCAAACTATTTCATCTTTATCTGCATCAATGGTGCTTCCAGCAAGCAGCCTGGCTTTATTTCAGCTATTGAATTATTTGTTGTTCTTGGGCTGCTAGGGCTTTTTCCAGCAATTCACAGGCATCTCTGGGGCTTCTACGGGCTTTGCTTTCTCTGTATCTGTAATTGAACAAAGACTTTCACAGACTGGTCCATGTGATATCTCTGTCAGAGTTTTACTTCCAAGCAGCATATTTTCCTTTCTTTTACAGTTAGAGCAGCCATTTCTGTGAGTTTCTGAGCCTTGAATAAAACCATCATCACAGCAATCTGGAAATAGTTAATCCAAGGGATAAAATCCCCAGAGCTACTTATCAGAAAGGAGATAAGAGCTTTATCAGTGGAAATGCAGCAGGCACTCTGTGGCCAAGTGAGAAACCTGTGCAGGTAGTCCTCAACATACGACCACAATCGAGCCCATTTCTGTTGCTAAGTGAGACATTGGTCGTAAGCGAGTTTTGCCCCCATTTTATGACCTTTCTTCCACAGTTACTAAGTGAATCGTGGCAGTAGTTAAGTTAGTAACCTGGTTGTTAAGTGAATCCAGCTTCATTGATTTTGCTTGTCATAAAGTCACTAGAAGAGGATCACATAATCCCAAGACACAGCAAAGGTCATAAATATGAGTCGGTTGCCAAGCGTCTGAATGTTGATCCCATGACTGTGGGGATGCTGCAATGGTCATAAGTGTGAAAATGGTCATAGGTCACTTTTTTCAGTGCCATTGTAACATCAAATGGTCACTAAATAGAATAGAATAGAGCTGGAAGGGATCTTGGAGGTCTTCTAGTCTAGCCCCCCCCCCGCTCAATCAGGAGAACCTCTATCATCTCAGACAAGTGACTGTCCAGCCTCTTCTTAAAAATCTCCAGTGATGGAACGCCCACGATTTATGGTGGCAAGCTGTTCCATTGGATAATTGTCCTCACTGTTTGGAAGTTTCTCCTTAATTCCAGGTTGCTTCTCTCCTTGATTAGTTTCCATCCATTGTTTCTTGTCCTGCCCTCTGGTGCTTTGGTGAATAATGTGACCCCCACTTCTTTTTGGCTGGAGCATTCACAACTTCTGGTGGCAGGTTGTTCCACTGGTTAATTGTTCTAACTGTCAGGAAGTTTCTCCTTAATTCCAGGTTGCTTCTCTCCTTGATTAGTTTCCATCCATTGTTTCTTGTCCTGCCTTCAGGGGCTTTGGAGAATAGCTTGACTCCTTCTTCTTTGTGGCAGCCCCTCAGATACTGGAACACTGCTATCATGTCTCCCCTATTTCTTCTTTTCTTTAGACTAGCCAAACCCAAGCACTACCTGTATAAAGGCAATATAAACGAAAAGCCCTTCGGCC